AAAAAAAAAAAAAAATGGACACGGTTAGGCAATTGGATTGATATACGTCAGATTAATCCTCTTATTATGTTAACACATTCTATCACTAATCCATTTTATGTGTAAGTACAGACTAACTTATATTGTGAAACTTCAGTTACGTACTCATGAGTAGTCACTCTACTTAACAATCAACCACACACACACATATATATATATAAAAGGGAGATTCTACGGTCCCGTTATGGAACCATTCCGTCGGGTTTTGTAAACGTTCAATTAACTATCCATGATGATCTCACGGTTACAAATTCTGACGAAATGGTTCCGTAACGGGATGTAAACAAATTTCACAAATCTTTTATACTCCCAAAATCACCTTTATTAATTCAAAGTGTCACTTTCTTACACACATATATATCTTTCTTTTTCTCACACATTAATTAACTTCATACCCTTGTCCTTTCACCATCTTCATCTTCTCCCTCTCTCTCTCTCTCTCTCAATAATCCTCTGCAACTACTCCCCTCTTTCTCTCTCAACAAAAAAAAAAAAAAAAAAAAGAAAAAGGGAAAAACTCATAAATGGAGCTCTTTCCAGCACAACCTGACCTCTCCTTACAAATCAGCCCACCCAGCGGCAGCAAACGATCATCCGCCGCCGCCACGTGGCGATCAAGACCGACGGCGGCCGACGACCACCGCGCTACAACTTGTTTCAAGGCCCTCCGCCGCTCGTCAGACGCCGGGCCCACCACACTCGACGGCCATCACCTGACGACCCAGCCCCATTTCGGCCATCATCATCATCAACACCTCAACGTGTTGAGGCCCATTAGAGGCATCCCCATCTACCAAACCCACCACCCACAGCCCAATTTCCACTACGCTCATCGTGGGCCGGGCTTTGAACCACCGTCTATAGCGGCGGCCCAAATTCTGGGCCCGTCGTCGAGGTTTCCGGCCAAGCGGAGCGTGAGGGCCCCACGGATGAGGTGGACAACCACCCTTCATGCCCGTTTTGTTCATGCCGTTGAGCTCTTGGGCGGCCATGAAAGTAGGCTAATTTTTATTATTATTATTAATATTATTATTATTATTATTATTATTATTATTATTATTATTATTATTATTATTATTATTATTATTATTATTATTATTATTATTAAGTTTCAATTAAATAAATATGTGTTTAATTTGTTGTGTAGGGGCTACGCCTAAATCTGTGCTGGAGCTCATGGATGTCAAAGATCTTACACTAGCTCATGTTAAATCCCATTTACAGGTAAATTAAATTAAATTAATTATTTATTAGACTCATATTTAGTTATAATTTCAATATTTATTTTCTCTGAAATAATATTCATCAGTTGAATCTTACTAGGTAGAGTAGATTTAAATGGCATGCAATAGTTTACCCATCATTTGTTTTTGAATTTTAAAAACCAAATATATAATAGGGAGTGAGCGTGAGACTATACCGTCTTGTTACTGAACCATTCCGTCGGGATTTATAACCGTTAGATCAATTATCCCCGACGATTAAATGATGATCTAATAGTTACAAATCCCAACAGAATAATTCCGTAACGAGACCTTAACATTTTTTCGAGTATACGCATATCAAGAAATTAAAAAATACTAAAAAAAAGGTAGAGTTATAAGACAAGGCACAAAGAGTTGAATAACAGTTGAGGACAAGTAGTATACACACAGACACAGTTTGATCTTTGTGGCTGTTAGTACTATATTATTTCTCTTTCAAAATATTATTACCTATTTTTTTCTAAGGCTATAATAAGCTAGAAAGAAGAGGAAAGTACATAAAACACCATCATGACACAATGATACATGTCAGGACCAGGTCCTTGGTTTTAGTAACCCCAGTTTGACTAACCATGGTTAACCAGGAAAAGATAGACATGATTTATATATATATATATATATATGGAAAATGCTAAGGTCCCGTTGCGATGCGAATCATTCCATCAGAATTTGTAATCGCTAGATCATCATGTAACCGTCAGAGATAGTTGATCTAACGGTTATAAATCCCGACGGAATGGTCCCGTAACGGAATCGTAGCATCGTCCTATATATATATATATA